AAAAAACTAACTAGATAAGTTTTACAAAATTGTCTTTGAACAAATGCTGTCAACCAACATATACTGATAATGGTTTTTGATGTTGTTTATCTTAAATCTAAGAAAATAATATTTTCAAAGGTTTTTAAAAAGTTAAGAGTTATTTTGAGAAAACTGATTTTGGTTCTACCTGTTGTCTCATCAGTATTTGAACTATTTTTCAAGCAAAGAAAAATCTAACTGAAAATACAAATATATTTTCATAATCAGCTTTTCAAGTTCGGTCAAACCATATGCATATAAATCAATGAAAAGCAAAGCCTACTCCAAGTTTGTGTTATGCACATCTTATTGTGATTGATGTTGTATTTTTGTAAACAATAGATGATCGTCCAAAAAACGATCACAATCATTAAATTAAAAAATTAGAAAAACACTTATTACGAAAATTATTGTAAAGAATTTCGTTCTGTTTCATTCGTTGAACTGATACAACATTTTATTGCCAGAAGTATTTTCTTATTTCATTCTAACATCTTCAGAATATAGAATGATTGCCGAAATAAACTTGTACAAAAATGTTCATGTTTCTTGTCAAAAAATCATCATTAAATAGGTAAGTTCAAATAACTATGAATATAAGAATAATTTGAAATCTTAATAGTTAATTACAATATAAATGAGTAAAGTTCTTGAATGCAAAATCTTAAGAAAAAGATCTACTTTTGTTATCTATTGAAAAATGAAGACCTTGAATTCATGTGTAATGACTAGCAAAATGCTTCATGTACATATACCATGCACTTTTCATAACATATATGTCGACGTATTCTAGAGTATACTATATTCTCAATTACATGCAATAATAATTTTCACATGTCGATACATCTGATCATCGCATGCAAACAAACTTTAGAATACCATAAAAATGAAGCGTATGTAGCAATTATACATGACCGTATAGTATTCTTTTCCAAAAATCAGATTTGAACATACACTGTTTGTTTTATAAGACGAATTTTATCATTGAACTATTTACTTACACATTAGAAATACAATAAAAATTGGAAAAAAAATATTTGGTGATCAAATAGGTATGAAATACGCGTATCTATGATTGCCTATAAGTGTGAAGAAATTTCAAAAGTCGATAAGATGTTTCAGCTCAGATAGTTTAGTTACAGAGAAGAGCGACCTTATTTTTACGAAAAATACATAAATATATATCGAAGAAACTACTTAACTCTTGCATTGACCAAATATTATAGTAGACAATAACTAAAATTTGTATGTCGATGCAGAATCACTTTGGTAATAGTTTTTGTAAATACGAAGTTTTCTTGCTGACATACAGCATCTAGAAAAGTTCTAATCATCCTACGTGTACATGCAAATAATACTTTGACATTTACATGAAAGTTATACATTTTGCATCATCATGTCACAATAATGCATGCGAATGTTTGCAATGATGACACTCATATATGTTATTGTCAAGCTCATGTCTATGCATGTACAGCTATTCTGTATTTCTACTCAACAATTATTGATAATATCAGATCATTTGCATGTTCATGCATGAGATATGTCGTCTAGATAAGTATTTTGCAAGTAAATACGAGTTTTTAATTTTATTGTTCACAACATATGATCGGAAATAACGTTATTCAACATATTTGATAATTTTCATAGTTCAGAGAAAGGAATAATGTTCAAGTAATACTGAAAACATACTTTGTTGAGATAAACATAAATCTAATGTTTCTCTTGTAGCTAAAGAGCACTAGATGCATTCAAAAACAAAAATTTTTTTCTCTTTATTTATGACAAAAATTAGTAAATAATGTCACCATAGCGAATCGATGCCCTTCGATAACAACCATGAAGGACAATTTATGAGTAAACATCAATAATTGCGCCATGTAAAATTTTTTTTTTTTTTTTTTCTGCAGATCATCTATGCATCAACCAAAGTAGAGTTTAAGAGTGATCGTCAATCAACGATTTATGACTCAATTTTAAGTATTTCTTTATTATTTAAGTCTGTAGGTAGTATTTAGTTGTTCAAAGATCATTCGTACATTTAGAGGATGAGATCTACTATACTAATTACCAAAAAGGGATGTTTTCGATTTTTCGGATTATTTTGATTTTTCAGAAGTATTTGATTACACTTATTTTTTAATTTCAAATTGACAGATAGTTTTTTAAAAAAATGAAATGTTTACTCTCGATATTTTAATCAGAAGAATCCGATTTCAGTTCTTACTCTCTTGATGATAGTGCATCAAGTAGTTATTCGATAGCCGAACAAAAAATTCTCATGTAAACAAATACTAGATGTGGCAAAAGTTTTGTGATATTTTTTGTTTTGCATGTAACTCTGTTAATGAACATGATAAAATGTTAGTCTTTTTTCCAACATCTTTGAACATTCTGATAGAATCATAAGAGGCAATTTTATGGTTATTTTCTAAATTTTCATAGTGTTAACGATGTGCAAGTATATCATGGTATTGTTTCTTACAAAGAAAAATAAGAGACAGTCCAGTTTTGATAAATATTGTTCATTAATCTTAGCTATAATGTTTGGAACCACTTTGCAAGCTAGTATTGCCGTCAAAGCATGACAATTGTTGCTTATCCTTATGCGAAATACAATTGAAGAATAAGGTTCCTGCCAATTGAACTGGACACTTCACTCTAATATCAAAGCTTTTTTTTGCTATTTTACTCATAAATACATCATTTAAAAATAGTGAAGTCGATGCGGAAATTGTTAGATTAAACTTCCTACATGTTGAAAGTACTAGCATAAAAGACTTGAGCTTCACAAAATAATACAATGAGAACTTGATTTCAGCTAAAGATAATGAAAATATGTTGACAATAAAGCAATATTGATCTTCTAGAAAGTATTGGTAAAGTGATGAATATTTTAGATTATTACATTGATTGAAACAATCTATTTTTATCTATCATTGATTTGATTAAAAGTGAACATTGTTATTGATCATAACATGAACTTTTCTGATTTTTGCTTGTGAGAATCAACACAATAACAGATATGTTTTGTGTTAATGGTCTATTACAATTTAGCAAAATAGCAATTAACATTTTGTCTTGTATGTCGATTACAACACTCGATAGTGCATCTGTTCAAAAAATGACCAACATTTTGTTATGTCTTTGCATTCAGTCACATACAAAACAAAAATTATCATAAAGCTTTTAGCACACTGGATATAACTGCAATGATTGTAACAAGGCATACATCGGATGTTGTTTTCTCATGAGACGAAAACTACATAAACAACTGCATTACGATCAGACAAGCATAATAAAAGTGATGAGGCATAATTAAATGCTTATAAACGACGTTCCTCTTCATTAACCAAGCATATTTTTCTTATTTCTTGAAAAAAAATATATATACAGGTACTTTCACATTTCATTTAAAGAGCAGATTCGACTGACATAGTTACTAATTAAATATTTTCATTACAGACATTTTTTCAACAGAAGTATAAATTCTTCTC